GGGGGTGGGGCGGTGGCGGGAACAGAAGCGCTGTACACAGGCTGTGGGTCCCCACATCTAAGGGCAGTCCTGGGTCTCTCACTACAGGTGTTCAGGTACTCCCTGCAGAAGGTGGCGTACACCGTGTCGAGGACCGGGCGGCACGTGCTGGGAGAGCGCCGCCGGGCCCCCAACTGAGGCCCCAGCCCCCAGCCCTGGGCGGCCATGTCACCAGGTGCTCCTGTGCATCTCGCCCAGCATGGGAGCCAGTGCCGCCCAGGAATAGGGGGTCCCCTGTGCTCTCTCGCCAGAGGAGCATTTGCCAAGGTCAATGAGGGGCTGGCAGGCCTCCAGAGAAGCAGCACCGCAATGACGACAATACCTGATCCCTTTCCAACCCCTTTGTACCCCTCCCACTACGGGGTGGGATAGAGGGAGGAGGAGGGATGGAGGGAGAACTCTGAGATTTGGGCATAGGCATTCTGATCTGGACCAAGTCGGACAGCGACATCCCAGCCCCACAGCCAGGGCCAGACCAGCAGGCCCTACCACAGAGATCCAGACTATGACACCAGCAGCAGAATGAACATTCCAACATCATCGGCCAGCCGAAGCTCTGAATCTCTGAGCAGCAGACAAGGAGTCAATTGCGTGCCTGTGTGGCGGGACAAGAGGGTTTGGGTGGGGGAGGAAGAGGGTTAAGAAACAGAGCGGGGCCCTCTCACTGTCCCTTGCCTACTGCACGTGCATTCCAGCCTTGCTGCCTTTGCTCCCTCTATTCCTCCTTCACCCTCACTGCCTCCCAAGCCCACCCTACCAGAAAAGATGTGTCACTCAATTCGGACCTATTCAATCAGTAAAAGAATCCCAACTTTACTAAAACACCTCCGAGCCCCCAGTCCCTCATTGATCTTTTCCCTGGTCTCATGCAATTGTGGTCAATATTGTGGTAATCGCTAATTGTAATAATTGTGTAAGTGAGCATTAGTTGTGCTTCCCCGGCTAGATTGTAAGCTCCTGGAGGACAGGGACCACCTCTCAAAAAATTAAAAAAAAAGCACCTCCCCCATCTCGCACAGTGTCCCAGGACCCTGTGGGGCGGTGGAAGCGCACAAAAAAGTTGTCTCTTGTAACTTCTTTTGTGGCTGCGACACATACTTCTAAGACTGGGTTGATGTGCCCATTGTGAAGTAGGCATGATACTTGGGAGAGGGAGGGAAGGAGGGGGAGGCAACAAAATGGGTATTGGGACCCTCATATATCTCAACACGGTCCTGAGATAAAGGACCATATCCTCCTTCCCAAAGAGGTCTTCACTTGTGGTCTCAGAATAAGAGACCACTACCCACTCCCTCCCAGAGAAGTAGGTGCCTTCACTTGAACAGGGATAAGGGGCCTTGGCAGATAATCACTGGGAAAGATGGGAGGAGTGGAATGCTGGGAGTGGCCCTCAAAATGGGGTACTAGGAATGGGGAAGGGGAATGCGGGGGGTGGAGGGGGACGACACATGACAGGACTTCAGAACACAAGCCCTACCTCTATTCAGGAGCCCCAAGGAAATGAGTACTGGGCAGGTGGGCACTGGGTTGGGCAATGAATATGGGATAAGTGGTATGCTGTGGCGCCTCCCTTGCCCAGTTCATTCTTCTAGGCCCTATAACCTCTACTAGGACCATTACAAGGGCATCCTGCTGGTCTTGCTACTCTCGGGTATCCCCCCCACCCCCAGGATCCTCTCTTCAGCTCACTCACCCCAATACTGGGTTTTCTGCTTCTAGAATTAGCCTCCTTATTTTTAGCAGTGCTTACCATGACCCTGGCCCTCATGTCAGGGTGGGTGGGCTGCTCAGCTCCAGACTTCTCTCCCTTTTCCCACTCCGCAGTGAGTTAGGGCTCCTGTTACATGGGGTCAGCTGACTACCTCACCAATTGGCCCTGCTGTCTATTCAGTCTTGTCTGTGGCTTTATGTGTCTCTGTCACCACACCTGTTCCTGGGTCAACACCAAGGGAGGGAGTTGGAGAGCCATAAATCTCTTTCTGCCACTTACTCAAATCCCTTAGTCACAGCTGTCACAAACACTCTGGAGCACAACTTGCCTCACCTCCTTGAACCTAATGTTTCTGTCCTCTTAGCAAGCCCCTTGTGTTTGTCAACCCAACCACCAGCACCTCTAGAGGCATTTATAACTTCAGCTCAGCATCAGAGAATCATGGGGGTGGAGGGTGCAGACCTTAGTTCTCATATTGGCTTTGCCATCAATCAGCCCAGGGAATCTGGCCAGGTCACTTAACCCTCCTTAGTTACCCTCTGTAAAAGGGCTGCTAAGATCCCAGTGAACCCTAACATACTAGAAACATTCTGCTATCAAAATGGCAATCAGGAGTGATAGGACTGGAATGGGGGTGTGCAATCTGAGTCTCCATCTTCCGTAGGCTGGGTGGCTCCAGCTTCTACTATAGCCTGAAGGTAAGGCAGGTCTCTCCTTTTGCCTCATCAGCAGGCAATGCCCACACCTCCCTTCTGAAGCCCATCTCTTAGCAAGCCTCAAGACTGGAGTTTCTGTGGTTTTCTACCAAAACCCCCAGAACTATGAACATATTTCAACATGTGTTCTCTATGAAGGCTGCCCCTCCCTTCAGAGCCTTTCAAGGGTGTGCCTATTACCCCAGATGCTCTAACCTCAGCCCAGTTTTAAGGCAGCTGGGTTCATTGAGACAGGCTGCAGCAGCTTAGACAGGTCTGGCTGCTCTGGACACAGGAGGTAGCCTCAGAGCTTTCCAGATGATCTTGGCAAAGCCCCTCCGCAGGGCTTTCTCCATCCATACATCAGCAGGGTTCAGAGGATTGTGAGATGTCAGACTTCCAGGCAAAAGCTGCCATCATGGCCTACACCTCCATGGGTGGGCTTGAGTGTGCAATGTCCACTCCCTTCTTTTGTCCCCCATTCCCAAACCATCATGCCTTGGCAACAAACATCACCCAACAGAGAAGACAGAAGGAATGTGTTCACTTTCTATTCCAGTGCAAGGACTAGAAGTCTGGTACAAACAACTTGTTTATAATATTTTTTCCCCAGTAGTGACAACATTAAAACATTTTATTCTGACAGATAGCAATGGGAGGAGCTGAAAATGACTACTTTTATTGTAAAGCCCTTAGTCCACAGTCTCCCCTTTTCCTAAACCAGTGATGGTGAACCTATGACACGCGTGTCAGAGGTGACACGCGAACTCATTTTTTTGGTTGACTTTTCTTTGTTAAATGGCATTTAAATATATAAAATAAATATCAAAAATATAAATCTTTGTTTTACTATGGTTGCAAAGATCAAAAAATTTCTATATGTGACACGGCACCAGAGTTAAGTTAGGGTTTTTCAAAATGCTGACACGCTGAGCTCAAAAGGTTCGCCATCACTGTCCTAAACTGTCTCTACCACCCCCACAAGGCCAAGGATAGTGCAGATGAGTTGTGAGAGGACTGGGATGGAACAGACCTAATGGCTTTGTGGAACTGCAGTAACAGGTGAGACTGCCCCAAGAAGGATGTTAGTTTCTTAGTTTAACCAACTAAAGTTAAGCCCCAGGGGAGTTCAGGTACCATGACGTTCAGAGGTGCTATGTGACACCTCTATCTGTGGAGTATTTGGATTGTGATTAAAGGAAGGGGCAGGGAGGACACATTTCTTGAGCTTCAACTATGGGACAGCAACAGTTTATTACACATGGTTTGAATGAGGGAGAAGGTTTGCTGTGAGCCATTTGCTAAACATCTATTTTCAAACTTGTATTTGCTCAGGAGCCAGCATCCTAAAGTGAGAGTCTGAATTTGCAGTTAGTTTCTCTCCCGCCCCCGAGATTTAACTGTGCATGAGTGCGTGTGCGTGCACACACATGCGTGCACACACACACACACACACACACACCATTAATATCAGTCTCTTTTTCCCTGGTGACCTCTTACTTCCTTTATATGCCCCAGAGACATATCAGCATCTTCTCTGGGAAAGATCCTGTTTGCCCTGGTCTCACTCCCTTCTCCTTCCCATAGGGCCCATACCCCAGCAGAATCCAGATTCCTGAGCCTTCCCAGAACAGGAAGGCAGGGAGGCAGGCAACACATGGTCCCTGGTATATCACACAGTGACAGGTCTGAATGGAATGCATATGTTTCGAATATAAGAGAACAACAACAAAACGATGGCCAAACCCAGACTTCCAGATTCCTCTTGGAAACAACCTATTACACATAAAAGGTTAAACTGTTTTTGGCAGCAATTCTAACGAGACCAATTTTTCTGAGACGGAATTGATCTAGTCACTGGAAACCCACCAGGGCTCTGAATCTTTTTAACAGATTTGCTTGACATCAATTAACCTCGTATTTTAAACAAACAAACAAACAAACAAACAAGACCTAGCATTTGGCATGAGCACTTAAGCTGGAACTTTTTTGGATCCTGGCTTGGGTGTTGCCGTCCAGAAGGCTGAGGGAATGGATGGGCCAGACCAGGCAAGGCAAACAGAGGCTGTGCCCAACACACCAGTTCCCTGGAAAGGGACAAAACACGATCCAAACCTATAAACAAGAAAGACCATTTCTTTCCCAGGACAAACCCCAGGCTGTCCAACAGTTAGCGCTGAAAAGGCACACAGAAGCCTGGAAGGAAATTAAAGGAGGTTTGGAAGCGGTCAGGAAAGAAAGCAACTATCCCCCAGCCGCCAGCCCCCATGCTCCTTTCCAGGCTACAAAGTGTGCCAGGCATTCCGTCCCTCCGGCCGCCCTTGAGGGCCGCCCCCCGTATACACTGAAGGGAAAGGGACGGGTGTCCAGACGGGATGCAAAGTCAGAGGGAGGAAGAAGGACCCGAGACTCAAAGCAGAGTCACCTATCATCCCAGACACCAAAGCGGGGGCTCGGGGCAGGAGACCCTTTTCTCTCCCCCCGACCCCCCACATCCCCTTCTGATGTAAAAAAAAAAAAACAACCGAAGTGGTGGGGACAGACTGACAGGCTTCTCAGAAGCTGGGTCCCCTGCCAGGGCCCCAGAACGGAAGAGGGGATGGTCGCGCCCCCCAGCCGCCCGCTCCCCCCGCCCACACCGGAGCGGACTGGCGAGCGCTGACCTTGGAGGCCAGAACGAGAACCCAGGAATCCCGTGACCCGCCCTCGGCCAGGAAGGGGCCCTCAAGGCCCGGGCTAGGGCCAAACAGGGCAACCAAGTGAAACCGGACAGAGGTGGCTCGAGGGTGCGCGGAAGGAAAACCCCAGAGAGGGACCGGGACGCCTAAGGTGACCCCAAAGGGACAACATGGCGGCGCGGACGCACGGAGGCCTCTCATCCAGCCCCCAGGAGGCCGACAACACGGTACCTGCGAGCCCTGCCATGGCACCGCCGCCACTGTCGCCTTCGCGGTCGCAGCCGGCCTCCACCTCAGTTCGCCACGGACGCCGCAGGAAGCAGGGGAGACGCCCCCTTCGTCTTCTAGTCCAGCGGTCGAGGACCCCTTCTGGGATTTGGCTGTCTACAGCAGACGCCCGATCATGAGACCCAAATTGGGGGGGTCTCTCCTCCTAAATTCTCCAAATATCTGCTCCAAATGACCTTTTGAGGACTTTCTACGTATGTTTGAGGAACTCTGAGGGCTCTAAAATCTTCAAGCCCGAAGAATTTTTAATCAGGCTAATCTTGGGCAGCCCCAAATCACGGGCCCATGGTCCCCTCATGCATATTCAGCAGATTGTGATCACACGCTTCTAGAGCTGAGGGGGGCGTACCTTCTCTGTAAGTGAGCTTCTGTTCCCTTTGGTCCACGTGGATAACCCTTGTACTCAGGGAAACCCTCCTCCTGGCTCAAAGTCCTCCCCCTTCCTGGTCCTTCCACCAATGGGCCAAGGCTCAGGAGCGGAAAAATCCGGGCTCGGGCCTTAGGACTGACTTGGGGTCAGGACCTGACTCCGCCCCTTGCTCTGTACCTTGGGCAAGCCACTCGCCTACCCAAGCTCTCAGCTTCCCCACGTCTGATGAAATACCTACCTCACAGGGTTGTTATGGGGATCGAATGAGTCAGTGTACTCAATTATTAGCCAATTAAGCACATTTCTTGAGCGCTTACTACGTGTAAGTGCAGCACTAAAGGCAAGAAGGTACAATAGAGCGTGATATAGGCACCGTTCTAACCTGAGGGCACTGCCAGTCTAGTGGGGGAGGCTTGGGGGAGGGGCCAGGAAGGACAGTCATCAAATACTAACTATATGTTAATAATTTTAATCGGATCAATATATAATAATGCAATATGTGAAGTGTTGTGGGGGAAAGTATAAAGAGTTATGAAAAATTAATGGGGTCCTAATGCAGGGTGTTGGGAAGCTGGGACTTAGGCTGAGAGACCAAGGACAATTAGGAATTGTACAGGGCAAGAGTGAGAGGGGAAATGTTTTAGGCAGAAAGAACCACTTGTCCTAGATGTGAAGGTGGGAAGGAGCAGGGTGAGGGTTAGAGGTGACCAAGGAATAGTGCAGGTAGAGCCCCCTAATGAATTTGGATTTTATCGTGAGAGTAATAAGAAGCCATTTTCTTCAGGGGAATGATATAAAATTTGGGTTTCTGAAAGGCCATCCTGGCTGCAAGGTTTGGAAGGCACTTGGGAGTGGGTGTATGGAGATCAGTTAGAAGGCTGTTGCAGCTAGCCAGGTGCAAAATAAGAGTGACTCAGACAGGGTGGTGGCTTGGGGAGGTAGAGAGGATGTAAGATTGGATGTGGCATAAACTAATGAACTAAAATAGATCCAGAGACATAGAAGCATCCAACAGACCCTTGAATCTCAGAAGGAATTTAGGGGAGGGTGTGTGTGTGTGTGTGTGTGTGTGTAAGAGATCAACCAAAGGACTTGTATGCATGCATATAAGCATAACCAAATGACACAGACAGTAGGGAGGTGGGTATATGTGCTGGGGGGTGGGGGGAGTGGCTAGTGAGAGGTCAATGGGGGGAAACGGAGACATATGTAATACTTTCAACAATAAAGAATTTAAATTAAAAAAAAAAGATTAGATGTGGGTGGGTGCTGGGGCATTGGCAATAACACCTAGTTTTTTTTGTCTTGAGTATGCGGAGTGAAAGAGCCCTTGACTAAAGTGGTGAAGCCTGAAGAAGGATCAGATTGAGGGAGAAGATCAAGAATTTGGCTTTGAGAAGGTAAGTGAAATGCCTGGGTGGCATCTAGATGGAGAGGGTCAATAGGCAGTTTTGTATGAGACTGGAGCTCAGAAGAGAGGTCTGGACTATAGATACATATGTGGGTATCTATCACTCACAGGTGATAGATACATCATGGTGTGGGATGAGATCCCAAGGGAGAAAAGGTGGATAAAATAGTAAGCAGAAGAGGAGGGGCCAAGAAAGCAGGCTGAGAAGCAGTGGCCAGTGTGGGAAGGAGAAGGACCAGCTGAGCATGGGATCCCAGAGAGAAGGTTTCAAGGCAGTGCTCAGTGGGGATGACTGTGTGAGGACAGAAATGGCACCACTGGGTTTGGTTACAAGGAGGGCTTATGGACTATATCCTTTACATTGCAAGTTCCAAAAAGAAAAAAGAAATCCTACTGAATTGGCTTAAAAAATAGGTAGCCTACCACTCAATGCCAGGTTAATTGGTAGGCTTGGCAAAGTCATCAAGGACATTTCCTGTCTCAAGTTCATTCCATCTTTGTTCTAGTGTCCTCATGTTGGTTTCATGCTCATGGTCATGGACAGCCGTCCCAGTTCCTGGGGTTACGTCTATGTCAATGAGATGCCCATTTCTTCTCTAGCTGACTCAAACAAACTGGATGTGGCCTCTCACTCTCTTGCTGCTAATGGGCTGAGGGATCAGTGCACCTCTGCCAGGCACACCCAGTATTCAATACTGGAGGAAAAGAGGAGTCTTAGAGTGAGAACTCTTGTTTATAAAAAGAGAAGGAGCTAAAAAGAGAAGTGTTAGCATGGATGTGGAGTGACTGAAATTCTTGCTGGTGAGAGAGGAAATTGGTACAACCACTTTAGAAAACTGGCAGTTTCTACTAAATCTAAATATATACCTATGCTATGACCTAGAATTTCCACTCCCAGGTATTCATTCTAGAAGTGAGTGCCTATGTGTACAAAATGACTTGTGTAAGAATTTTCATAGCAGATTTATTCATAGTTCAAATTGGAAATAGCCCAATGTTCATCAACAGGGGAATTAATAAACAAGTTATGACATGTTCACTCAATGGAATACTATGTTTTACATCTAAAAGTACAAAATACTGACATATGTGACATCATAGATTAATCTCACATAGAGTATGTGGACTAAAATAATCAAAGCACAAAAATAGTACATATTATATGATTCCATTCATATAAAGGTCAAGGGCATGCAAAACTAATATATGGTGATAGAAATCAGAATAGTAGTTATCCAGGTTGGAGAGCGAGTAGAGATGGGAAAGGAGCAAGAGGGACTTTTCTGGGGTGCTGGGAAAGGTCTGTATCTTAATCTGGTTGGTGATTACATGGGCAAAAATTCATCAAGTTCTACCATAAGCTTAGGGGACTTTGTGTATGTTAAATCCCCAAGAAAAATAAAATATAAAGAAGGGAGAAAGGGGTCCTGCCAACCAGTGGTCTGTGATGTGTGCTGCTGAGCAAGAATAAGGTCCATTTTGGAGGGACTCCACCTTCCTGTATCCTTAATGCCAGGTCTGGGCATTGACCAGGCCTCAGTAGACAACCTTCCTTGTTGGAGCCCCAGAAAACTGTAGAAGGCGAGGCAGGACTTCTTACTCACATGGGGCTGGCTCTTGCCCAGGTGGTTCCCTTTCTCTGAACCCACAAGATTGCTTTACCATATAAGCTCAGTTCCCGTTGGTAGAAATGACACCAAAGCTGGGCTCTGACTTCAGGGCTGAAAGGCCTTTTTGCCCTAAAATTTTGCTCAACAGATCTCAGCTTCCTGCCAAGGCCTTTCCAACCTGCCAACTGAACTTACCTATGACTCCTGCTCTCTCCTGCTCCACATTTCCCAAGTCTTATCTATCCCTTCTAAATCCCTCTTCAGGCTTTTTTTGTCCCACCGACAAAGCCGTGATCTAGGCCAGTAGTCAGCAAACTTGCGGCTTGGAAAACCACAGCTCATGAGCCACATGCGGCTCTTTGGCCCCTTGAGTGTGGCGGTATTTTGTGGAAGACCCACACTCAAGGGGCCAAAGAGCCACATGTGGCTCGCTAGCCGCGGTTTGCTGACCACGGATTTAGGCCACCATCCTCTCTCCCCTGGACCCTGCACCAGCCTCCTCACTGGTCCCCCATCTCTCCAAGAATCATCATCCTTCATACAGCAGCCAGGATGATCTTTATAAAGTGACCCTGCCCAGAGGGGAGGGTGGTTGCGGGGCTGGGTAAAAAAGGTGAAGGGATTAAGCAAAAAAAGCCCCCAAACACCCAAATGAACAAACCAACCTAATGGACACAGACAACAGGATGGTGATTCCCAGAGGAAGAGGGGTGGGGGGAGGTAGAAGAGGGTATAGGGAGGATAAATGATGATGGGAGGAAATTTGATTGGGGTGGTGAACACACAATACAATATCATATGATGTATTATAGAATTGTACACCTGAACCCTATATAACTTTATTAACCAATGGATTTTTATCCTTTCTTTTATTAATGTGAATCAACTATGTTGATTCTTCAATCCATGAATACTACAATGAATTCAATTAAAAAGTAAAATAAAATGACCCTATCACTTTTGAGGGGGTGTCCCCTCTCCCGTTTTCACCTGGCAAGAGCCTTTCCAGTTGTCAAAGCCCCAGATCAAATGCTGCCTCCTTTATGAAGGCGTTGCTTTCATTCAGCAAACATTTGTTGAGCACCTAAAATGTGCGAGGCACTGTGCTAGGCAGGGATGATAGAGAAATGAATAAGATAAATGGAAAGGCCTTGGCAGGAAGCTGAGATCTGTTGAGCAAAATTTTAGGGCAAAAAGGCCTTTCAGCCCTGGAGAGATGGGCAATTGAGCAGTGCCAATGTGTGCACACGTCCTATGGTGGTTAACCCTCACTAGCTGTGAGCTCTTTGAAGGCAGGGCTCGTTTGGGGATCATTTATTGGCCTCAGAGCCCAGTACAAGGCCTGGCAGGGAGGAGGAGGCAATAGCTATTGAATCAAGGAATGAATAAATGAATGAAAGGCCAGGCCAACCTCCTCCTTTCTCAGTTGTCCTCCAAGCCTCTGATATAGCTAGTAACCAGGTTCATGAAATTAAGCTGAAACTGGATGGCAAACTTGGAGCTAAAGTGAAAGAATCAGCAAAAGATTGTTATTTATAGCACAATGTTTTGTAAAAACACAATACCTACCTTCCTATATCATCTCTCCATTTGACGATTACTTTTTTAGAAAATCCACATTATTTCCTTACTAAGACTTAGATTCA